AAAAAAAAAAAAAAAAAAAAAAAAAAAAAAAAAAAAAAAAAAAAAAAAAGCTATTGGAAACGATAAGCCATATCAATTTTAAGTTCTAAAAGAATGCTTATAAAGAGTAGTAGACTAACCAGATGCCAGGTTCCCAAGACTGAGATTGAGATCGATTATGAACAAAATGGCTTGGATTTTCAATTGGAAAACGTGGGTGAGTCATGGATATTGTGTTTAAAGCTCCATCATTGTCGTGCCAATCCTCATCCCTGCACACCCACCACCAAGCACTTGTACCATTAGCCCATATTTGGCTAATCATTCTTCTGATGACCGATAGCCTTTACAAAAAAGACATTGGCAACACTCACCGATAGCCTTTATACGGCGGCGAGAGGTCAGACGGAAAGCGCCACCGGCTCATTTGCAAAGCTCTGATAGAAAGCAGGGGGTGGATTCCAAAGATCCTTCTTGCAGGCGCCTTCGTAGCGTAGCTGAAATAGTATGTGGTATTGAAGGTCTGCAGGCGGCTGTTCAATCGCATCGATCCTTGGATTGTAAGATCAGGCAGAATCCAATCTCCATAAGCAAACGGACCTTCTTTTCCCAACGCACATTTCATCAGACCCAAAACACCCTTCTTCTTCCACGACATGTTGAAGTGATCGAATCCGAAGTTGTAATACTTTTTCAACCACCCTATGTCCAACCAGTCGTAAGCTATTACCCCAACTCGACACAGCTGTAGCAGACTTATAGGTTTCATGGTTTCCCCATCTTCTGGTCTGAAAACAAACGAAGTTGATTCCAAAAGCTCATCAAGACACACATTATCCAACTCAAACTACTTCAAGTTAATAGCCCTAATAGCCCAAGTCTTTGTTTGGACAGAGTTTTTTAAGCGCCAAAAGCACATTTTTTTTCACTTAAATTACCCTCAAAATCCATGGATAAAATAGCTTATTCCCATTTACCGATATTATCTCCTTTAGCTCGTTACCGATCGCCCTTCATGATTTTAAAACGCGTTTATTAGAGAGAGGTTTTCACTCCTAAGAAATGCTTTGTTCTCCTCTTTAACCAACGTGAGATCTTACAACCCATCTCGAGGGCTAATGTTCTTGCTAGCACACGACTCCGTTACAAATGGTATCAGAGCAAGGACACTGGGATCTCAAAGGGGTGGGCTTGAGATGTTACAAATGATATCAAAGCTACACACGGGGCAATGTGCTAGTGAAAACTTTAGCCGACGTGGGACCTTATAACCCATCTCGAGGCCCAGCGTTCTTGCTAGCACACGATCCCGTGTCTGGCTCTGTTACAAATGGTATCAAAACAAGGACATTAGACTCTCGAAGGGGTAGGCTTGAAATGTTACAAACGGTATCAAAGCTAGACACTGGGTAGTGTGCTAGTGAAGACGTTGGACCCAACAGGTGGATTGTGAGATCTCACGTTGATTGGAGGCGGGAACAAAATATTCCTGTGGAAACTTCTCCCTAGTAGACGTGTTCTATAATTGTGAAGCTGATGAGGATACATAATAAGATAACGTGGACGATATTTACTAACAGTAGGCTTGGACTGTTACAAAATTCATTTAAAATTTCATATGGAAGTTGGGACCTTAAACGTTGTGGTAGTGACGTAGAACGAGCGTGATCCAAATTTTTGTTCTATGTCACCCCTACACAATTGGAGGTCCCAATTAGAAAGGATTGCTACTTTTCGTGACCAAAACATTGACAAAATGAGGCAGAACAAGCGTCATTATCCAGAGAGAAACTCACTGCATTCCATCCAAATAAGTTCTCGTAGTTCCATTGAACGCCCCAGACAAGGCCGTAATGCTCAAAACCCAATTCTCCGAAGTGTTGCGGTGGCCCTCGAATGCCTGCAGCCAAATTGAAAGAGACAGAAGAACAACCAACAACAGTGTGTAAGCAAATGTGTTGGAATTTTATCAAACCCATAAAACATCATCATCATCATCATCAACGACAGGACAACGTTAAATGTCGTGTTTTCAGCCACCTTGTCGGCGAGCATCTGTTGGAGCAGACGAGCAACCTGAGCTCCGGCCGAATGCCCCACGAAGTGAACAGGATGATCCTCGTCCCATTCAGGGTACTGCCCTGCATTTCTCAATAAAAAAAAAAAACAGGGGAAAATTATCCCATTTTTAAAATAAATTCATAAATTTCCCACTTTTGTTTATTAAAATTTTATTCCCAATCGACCTTGTTCATACAGCCGGCCGAATCGCGAGTGCCCACAATCTCTGCTGTGTTCTTCACCGTAATCGACAAGCCCACCTTTCAAATAGAAGAACAATTCACGAGCCCTGAAACCAAATTAAACTAAATCAATACCCAAAAATTGAAGAACACAGCAAAATCTTTGAACGACCTGTCGTAAATGCTGGTTAAGGATCCCAAATCAGGGACTAGAACCCGTTCGTCTTTGTTCTCAGCTCCGGCAAAATACGATAAGCTTCCCAATCTCTGAAAAGGAAATGAATCAGCTCAAGAAATGGAGGCAGAAATCGAAAGTGATCCTTTGCCATAAATTACAGACCCCTTTTCCAAACCCAAAGATTCCATGGACCAAGACGATTGGTGGAAGATGCTGCTCAAAATTGCTCGACGGTGGCACTGTTTTTGGCTCAAAATTGACCAATTTGAAGTTTCTCAAGCTGAAATTGAGCGCTTCTGAAACATCGCCGGCTACGGCGGAGGTAAAAATATACAAACCATAAATGGAATGAACCACAGAACTCAAAAACAGTTCACATAAGAGGAAAATTAGAGCAACCCATGAAGCAGCGATCATTTTTATGAGTCGATTATCGCCGCCACAGACGGTGGTTGTTTAGAATTAGGCGAAGTAGTAATATAGAGGAAGAGGAGGAAGTCAGGCGATGGATGGGTTTGAGCACGTGCTACGACACGTGAGCTGTGTGTTGCATTGCATGGCTTGCATGATGGATACAGATTTCAGTTGGTGGATTTTTGTGTTTATTCAAAATGGGTAATTAAATAAAAGCTAAGCGACACGATATGATTCAATGGGATTGCCGCCACGTCTCTTAGATTTCCACTCCCACAAGTTTGGTTGTGCCCATTTGGGTCAATCCACCATAGTTGATTACTCCGTCAGAGTAATTTTAAAATTTATGAGATTTACGACTATACATAACAAATCGAAGCTGACAATATCTATAAGTTACAGGCTATAGGCTATGTGTATGAAAATCTCTTTCTAATAAACACATTTTAAAATTCATGAGATTTACCACTATACATAATAAATAACAAATCGGAACTGACAATATCTATAAGTTACAGGCTATATGTATTCAAACGGCCGTAAGTTGAGGATATTAAGCTTAGTTTGACTTTAGGTTTGGGAGCAGTGGTAGAAGGTAAGCGCCATCCAACTCCAATGGTAGATGTGACTCTCCAAAAGCAGCTCAACTAATCCTACGGCCACTAATTTGGCTGCCAAACTAGCTTACTTCATTTTTGCTTTTTTTTGTTTATTGTTTGTTTGTTACTTTTTTATATCATAAAAATTATATTGAATATAACGATGAAATGTATGTTTAAAATTTGAAAACGAACAAATTTTTTTTTTTTTTGTAACTTTCGTGTTTATGGTGCTACTTTGAGCTTCTCTAGATGATTACCAAATTGTACAATTTATTGTGATCTTTTGTTGTTCTACTTGGTCTATAGCATCCATTCGGAAACTATATTTTTTGAATTTTGGTTTTTGAGTTTGATTTCGGGTTTTATTTGATTTTTGTTTGGTCCATAAATTTTTAAAAATAATATTATTAGCTATGAATTTTTAGTCTAATTTTCATTTAATCCATAGATTTCTAAATTATTAATTAATGTTATATATAAATTTGAATTTTATTTTTTTTAATTTTAGTTTCGAAATTATAATTTTTATTTAAATTAGTGAACTAAATTTGTAATTTAAAAACTTTAGAGATGAAAAGGACTCGATTAATATTTTAACCAATAATTTATAATAAAACACCCTTTACTAAAAGTTGAGGGGTAGAAAAGTAATTTTAGTTAAAAGTATTTTTCTTTCTAAAAAATAATTCCAAATTAATTCCTCCCAAGTTTCGAATTTTCCAATGAATATGTACTTTTGCTCCATAAAAAAATTCCTTGCCTTACCCATTTATTATTAATTTTATTTTATTTTATTTTATTCTATTCGTATAATTTGAAAAGTCCCCTAAATTGGGAAAAGGAAAAAGAATCTGCTGGTGTGATTTGGATGACCCGACCCATATTTATGACATTTTTTTCCCTTTTACAGAATTTAAGTGTTTGATTCACTTATTTCAAGCACGGAAGTCTTTCCTTTTTTATAATCATTTTTTTTCTATTTTAATAATAAAATTTCGAAATGAAATTGATTTTTATTGGTAATGAAATTTTATTTATTTATTTATTCATATAATTTATTATCATTATTAATTATTAGTATAAAAATAGTTATTATCTGTATAATAATAAAATTAAATTCTACTATTTGTTATAAAAAGAAATAGCCCAATGGGCTTTAGATGTCGGTCCAATTTTAGTCCTCTCATTGTTGTATGTTTGGGCCCAAACCAGGAGCCCATAATCGTTTGCTCGTGGGACCCTTTGTCTTCCCTCCCCCTCGCCGATCGGAGGTTAGGGTTTTGATTAGACTTTGGGTCTGCAGTGAAGCCATTTCTGCTCTCGCCGTGAGAAGTGCCGGAAAATGGCGTTACGCAGTTTACCGCTCGAATAATGTGGCGAAGAGGTTGCTGGAGGAAGCACAGTACAAGAAGCTCCTCGAAAAATGGTTGCTCAAAGAAGAACATTCGGCAACACTCAAAAAGCTTCGCAATAGGAAGCTGTACAATCCTGCTCTCAAGGTTCGCCTAACCGAAACTCTGTAGAATTGATTATTAATTCGAAGTATTTGAATCAATGTTGTTATGGTCATTCGTTCTAGATTTCTTATCTTTGCAAGATTAGATTGGACAGGAATTCGATTTTAGGTACTGTTTCACGTGTTCGAATTCTTATTGTTCGATGATTTCAACCATAGGAACAATAAGAGCCGGATAATATTGCTCTTTGTTGCTTATATTGCTTGTGTAAAACGATTATTCTGTAAACGAAACTGTGGTTTTGCTTTCAAAAACTATGGCCAAAAAGGGGCATGAACAGGACGGTAAGTGAACAAGCCATACATATTGATTCAGTAGCCAAGGTGTGCAGTTGTATCAGCAAAAATGGATTGTTATGAACAAGACGGTAAGTGATGAAGCTTTCAAATTCAAGCCATACATATTGGGACTTTATCATGCTTTCTGGTGTGCAGTTGTATGAGCACGGATTGTTATGGTTTCTCCTTCTAGTATGATTCTCTCTACGCAAGTTTGATCTTGATAGTAACATCTAAACGCCCACCTCAACCGATCTTGTTGCTCATGTTTGGCCTATGAACGGACTAGAAAAAAGCAGAGCAAATCCCTTGATCCCTGCGTATGATGAGCCAGTTAAATCTTCAAGATATGGCAACTAATTAGCTTCTTCCTTACCATGCCAAAATTTTATGCCAAATGGGAATCTCAATCCTGTTCGTTCCATTTCATAGCTCCACATTGACTTCTACGATTATGGAATCAAGCTTCAAACCATAGTGTTACAAGATGTAGTCCAAGTCCAAGTCCACCCCTAGTGATAGTGTCCGTTTTAGCCTATTATGTATCACCGTTAGCTTTACAATTTTAAAATGCATCTGTTAAGGAGAGGTTTCCACACCCATATAAAATACTTAGCTTCGCTCTCCAACTAACGTGGAACCTCACAATTTACCCTCCTTAGGAGTCTGCGGTCTTGATCCCCTCTTCAACTAATATAGGATCCTACATTAGTTGGAAAGTGGAACGAGGACGCTGACCCCCAAGGTAGAGGGAACGAGGCATCTTATAAGGGTGTGGAAACCTCTAACCATGAGGCTGACGACAATACGTAACGAGCTAAAGCGGACAATATTTGCTAGCGGTGGGCTTGGATTGTTACAAATGGTATTAAAGCTAGACACTAGGCCTCCAAGAGAGTAGATTGTGAAATCCCACGTCAGTTGGAAAGGGAAACAAAACTTTTCCTAATACTAATATTCCTAATACTAATAGACTCAAAGCGAGAAGGAAGGAAGAACAAATATATATATATATATATATATATCTTTTAGTTAAAAAAATTCCACAATCTTAGTATAATTCAGTATTCCTTTTGTCAAAATTTACAATAATCATCCCTCTCTATTCTCACATTTTAGTGATTCGAATTGGAAGGGACCAAAAAAATGAACTAAAATAAAAAACAAATACATGAATATCTCACACTTTTCACTGAAAAAAAACCCCACAAAGAAAGTTACAAGGCAGAGAGAGAGGCCATTAAGGGCACCTCACATTTCTTCCCGGCCCACCATAGTAAAAGTAATTTCCCCAAACTCTATTAATCCCACCTTGAATGTTATAGCAATTTGGATGATCCGCCAAAACCTTCAAATTTGACAATGGAATCAAGCTATTGTCCCAATCCACCACTTGCAAGTTACGAAAATACGAAGCTTTTCCAAACCCTTCACCCGCGAAATGGCCACTCCCCATTTGCGTCGCCGTGTGAAACCCCGAAGTCTTTGAATTCACCACCTCACCGCCAAATTGTATCATCGTTGCGTGGCTTCGAAGGTGAGTGAATAAAAACGCTGGCCAGTACCCGACCAATACACCCGACCCAAATTCCAACCACCAATTCCCATGCTTTGGATCCTTCCAAACCAGTAAACTGATGTCGAATTGGCCGCCATTGTAGGAAGATGTTGGAGAAATTGCAGCTCCAATGGCAATTCTGCTGTTGGTTTGAACAAAGCCGGAGCAAAGTAAATTGTAGCATCCAGTTGCTTGATATGCATCCGACTGTTAATTCAAGTTATTATCATTCCATTTTCTCAAATAAACTTAAAAAAATGATCAAATTCCGTTAATAATCTATACTTACTGTCCAATAAGTGAAAAATCTTGGATAATTATCTCCATACAACTCTGGGCTAACCTGTTAATGAACACAAACTTGTTAATGGGTTAAATAATAAAGCAGATAAATTCCAGAATTACAAATCTTTAAAATAGTTGAATTCATTATAATTATTTCGATTATTTCCTAAAAAAAAAACAATAATATTACTATTTTAAACTGAAATGGATTACAGCGTTAAAAAAATGGACTATTAATTAATAATAACCATCAGTTTCTACCCACTAACCCAAGTCAACGTTTTTCATTGCTTACTTTAAACCCCAACTAATAATCAAGCAAATTTCAGACACTTTCAATTCAATAAAATAAATAAATCTTCAAAGTCAAATAATTTTAATTTAAATGAGAATATATTCCTTTTACACACAAATTTAAAATTTTTAAAACTGGATAATATTTGGGACCCTCCAACCTGTCCAACCACATGTATACTTTGTTCAAAGTCTTAGAGAGTGAAGTGAAGTTAAACCTCAATTAAGGAGAAACTGTTTGAAGGGTCCATAGGCTTGAAGTCTTAGAGAGTGGAGTTGAGCCTCAATTAAGAAGAGGATCCATAGGCCTAGTCTTAGAGAGTGAAGTGAAGTTAAGGCTCAATTAAGGAGAAACTGTTTGAAGGGTCCATAGGCTTGAAGTCTTAGAGAGTGAAGTTGAGCCAGGAGAAACTGTTTGAAGGGTCCATAGGCTTGAAGTCTTAGAGAGTGAAGTTGAGCCAGGAGAAACTGTTTGAAGGGTCCATAGGCTTGAAGTCTTAGAGAGTGGAGTTGAGCCTCAATTAAGAAGAGGATCCATAGGCCTGAGGTAAAGCTCTGTAGTATACTTTATTCAAGGATTCAAGGGGAGGATTGTTGGGAGGAACTCACACATTGACT